TGCAATCAGTGTGGGCAAGCCAAGGGGGACAGGGGCCACCATAATAAACCCCTGATTCTCTTTCTGAGCACTACTGACACATGCTCTTGGCAGTTAGAGGCAAAAAAGAACAGGGCAGATTTTTTTAATTAAATAAAAAACAATATTTACAACTAATTACCTCCAAGGAAGCACCACCCTCCATCTCTGTTTCCCCACACTCAGCAGCAGGCCCAGGATTTGGAAGGAAGAAAGCTCATGACTTTCAGCAAGAAATGAAGCACTGCCCTGACTTAAACTAGCTCACCTAAGCACTGTGCAGTGGATTTGAACATGAATATAGTTAAAATCTTGATATAGGAGTCAAAAGTCTTACTTGTCTTCAGCACTCAGATTTACTGCATCACACATATACTATACTTCTGCTGCTCTCGCATCTGTGAATCTGAGACAATGATTCTTTGGTTGGTCCGCTTAGAAATATAGAAGCAGATGTATAACACACCCAGGGTGTTCCTTTGGCAATCACTTTAAAATGAAGAGACAGTTTCCACTTCAACAGGGAAATCTAATAACCAAAAGGTGAATATATGTCATAATAAATAAGCAAATGAAAAGACATTACAATGTTTAAAAGAGAGAATTTATTTATGTAACACCTACACTATGTCATTTTTTAAAAAAATCTGTATGTTTGACCTGTTACTTCAAGCAAAATAAGAATGGAGTGCTGTACTGGCTGATTCATTCCATGTTATATTGCTTTTCTGCACACTAACTTTTTTTCAAATGGCTTTGTTGGAGAAAATAAATCATCTGCACAACTTACTCCTTAGCCACATCAATCCTATTTAAAATGTATACCCAACCTAATCCACGTACCTAAACTCATCTTGCCTTACTGGATCTTCTATGAAAATCACTCTACACATCCTTCTCCAACTAAAAGTTATGAATGTGAGCTTCTAATTGTGCAGCCTGCATTCAAATGGTTCACTGTAAAGAAACTTGAAACAGGCAAATACCAACTCGATGATAATTGAGATTGCTGTTGAATCATGGGTGTTACAAACTACATAATTATTGTAATATATTCAATGCTTGCCTTTCAGATTTTGTCAGCAATAAAAGCAAAATGTAAAGTGGTGTATTAGTCACCTAAAGGCAAGCCTGTTGTCTTCTCTTGCATTTAGAAAATATCTCAACAGTTCTAGACTTTACCTTTGTAAGAGAGTGAATATCATGATAACAAACACTTGTCATAACACAGCAAAGGTAAAGACAGTGAGTCCACCTCCATTTTCCTGACACATTTGTCCAATTAGATATTTTGGGAGTCATTCTCAATTTTATGATTTTTGATATTTATATTTCCCAGGTGTATACAGATGAGCTTATATCTGAAATAACTGTTAAAACAAGCATGATATTTAAATCCTTTCAATATCTACTTTTAAATGTAAAAATATTAATCAAATACAATACAGACCTAATTTATTCTGCTTGGATGTTTGGCTCTCTTTTTCTTCTTCCCTACAACTCTCTTCTATGCTTAAAATCTGGATTTCCTTTCATATTTAATAATCAATCATGTCAGTCAGATTTCTATTACTGGAAAGAATGCATGAAGCAATAAACTTATGAAGAGTAAAGTTTTATGTTGACTCATGTAACAATTTCGGAAATTTCACCCCATGATCTACTGGCCCTGTCACTTTTGGGCTGTTTTGAGGATTGGTACCATGATAGCAGCACATGGCAAAACCACTCACTGTATGATCAGGATGTAAAAGAAGAGAAAAGGAAAGATACCAGAGTCTCATGATCCTCTTAAAGAGAACTACCACAATGACCTAAAACCTCCCAGCAGCTCTAACCCCTTCTTGAAGCATCATAGGCTGCCAATATAGTTTTTAATACCTGGTCCCTGAGGGGTATTTATTCCAGCCATAACCTTAATCCAAAAGCACTATGATCCCTAGACTAAGTCAGTCTTCTTATGCTTCAGGCTGAACCTCCTTGATTGCTTGGTAACTTGTATTATATAAAGGTGATGTTAATAGCAGCAGCAATAACACTATTCTATTTTGCTCAGCACTTGCAATCTTGCAAGTCAAATTTCCAGATCAAACCCAGGTCTTTCTGATACAGCGTTAGGTACCCTGCCACTTCATTTTCTGTTATTCGCAACACAATATTACAGACTTGGAAGTTATAAGGAAAAGAGATTTATTTGGGCTCATCTTTATTGTCCAAAGTCAAAAGGCAACACTAATGATGGCCTCCCTGCTCATAGAGACTGAGTGGAAGCTTTAGGTACCACATGGCAGAGCTAAGAGACAAAGAAGGAGGAGACCTAGCTAACTGGATTGTTGTAACAGGTCCACTGTCAGGACAACTCCTTGACACATCAGTCCATTAATCACATGCACGAATTTCATTTTTATGGGAGAACAGAGAAATAGTCACTTCTTAAAGGGCTTACCTGGACCTACCTTTTAATATCTCATAATTAGGACTAAATTACTATTTGAGTTTTGGAGGAACAAAGCATATTCAAACAATAGCGTGACTATTGCAGTTCGCTGTTGTGATCCATAAAATAATTCCTAATTTTGTGTTGCTTACATGGTTAAGAATACAACACCTGGGAACATCACAAGGCATATATCATGACCTTCAGAATTATACTCTTTGAACCACTCAGTGCTAAGACTGTTTACCTCAAAAGTGGCCAGAAAAAATCAAGGAAGTAGCAGAAACAGCTGATAATTGGAAATTCAAAGTCATTCAAGTTAGCAAGCCAGGGGCCTGAATGGACTCTGTACAGTAGGTACATATGACAAGCAAACACCTACCTTGTTGCAAAGGAGGAGGAGATGGAGAACATTCAACAAACCAAAGACAGGTTACTTTGGGAGATATAGGAGAACTAAATTTCCCAGGGAAGTGGTGAGAAAGAGAGACCTTCTCTTCCTTGTCTAACCTTGAATACTTTTAAATAATACATTATATGCATTCCTTGCTTATTCAGTACATAAATAAATAAAATTACAAAGAAAAAAAATAAGTATGCCAGGTGGATTGCATTGTCAAAAAGAGTATGGAAATTTCAGTTTCAGACCTGATTTCACATCTGAATCACCTATTCATATTTGATTATCCATTTAGGAATATAAAAAACCCTACATCATAAAGCTTATCAAGACTATAAATACAGGGGCTGGGGATTTAGCTCAGCGGCAAAAGTGCCTGCCTGGCAAGCGCAAGGTCGTGAGTTCGGTTCCCGGTACCGGAGAAAAACAAAAAAAAAAGACTATAAATACAATTATGTTTTCATTAATTATAGATTCTGAAGCAAAAATAAATTATGAAAATATTAGAAGAAAATCTAATAATTTTTATAGTAATGATGGGAGAAGAAAAATTTCTAAGCAGAATTCCTTAATAGTTTTGTTTTAAAACAGTGACTTAGATGCCAGACCTATTCTTCTCCAAATTAAGTACTGGTTTAGTGGTCTGAGATGATGTCCAGCCGTATATATGAAGCTCCTTCAGTCATTTATATTCACACTCCTAGTGGGAATCTGCTAAGCATTATGGCTGTCCTTGTAGAATATTTTCTATTAAATGACAGGAAGTACAAAACTAAAAGGCCTTCATGTGTAGGGCCCAGTCTAGTGCATCTTTCTATTGCTATTGTAGAAGATGGGGGAAAAGGTAAGTTTATTATAATATAGGAAAATGACCTTTAAAAAGTTGAAGAACCCCCAGAAATCAACAACACCGTAAGTGTCAACAGACAGGAGAATTTCTTCAAGGATGTTTTACACTTGATCTTAGCCAAAAGGCCGAGAAGTGATTCCAAGATGTTTTCAAATTGCAATGCTAGTCAAAGTTTGCATCGGACTATGGTATAGTGTGACAAAACAACACATTATTTTCCAAGAAGCTCAAATTCTTCTAAAGTTATGATTTTTTAATTTGACGTAAATAATTTGCTTCTTAAATATCCCTTTTTTAAAACTGAAGCTATCACTATAGATCATAGTTTTAGCTTTCATTCTAGAATTTTAGGTTTGTAAGTAAGCTAAAAATTAGGCAGAAGACAAATTAACATTGTAACAAGAGTATGTCAAATGTAGCAAAGGAATGCTACAGTCTAGGAATAGGTCAGTATAAGACAGTAAAGTAACCCCCATAAATTTTAAACCCTTTGACAACTAAATTTCTGCCCTGATGCACAACACGAATATTCAAAAGGACACAAAAGAGACCTAAGGCATAATTCCTGCCTTTGGGGGACTTAAATTCACAATTTCTTCCGAGACTCTTGAATCCTTTTAAAATGATGGTGATACCCAAACTTTAGTTTGGGTCTTCCAGGAAGATTAATAAAGACACAGAAAGTGGAGCTAGTAGGATCAATTAAATTATAACAGGTGAGCACTAAACCTTCATAGTATTTAAAACAAGCAGAAAAGCTTTAAAAACAAAAACAAAACATAGCACATTGATAGTTGGGTCCCATTCTGATTAAGGACGTCAAGGTAGCTCGAGTGGCTCTAGGATATAAGGTATATTTTAAAAGCTTGTAAAATGATTCCTATCTATAGTCAGCATTAAGAACCATTCATGCAGAATCTACACTCTATAGAAATCTACACTACAGAAAAGTTGTAGCTCTATTCAGCTAAAAGGAAAAGAAAAATCCTGCTATCAACTTGAAAGATAGCCCTTAAAGCGGCAGCTTTTTTCTCTCCTTTCTGTGAATCCTCAGGCCAATCTCACCACTTTCATGTGGCATTTATAAAGATCATAACTGTACTCTCAGTTGAATGGATGATTTGAGGAATTTGTTATAAGTATTTTGGGCTTTGTGCACTATTACAACTTTCCTGGGCAAAGAAACACTTTCATCAAGATGAAATTGTCTACTTTCACATTTGCCATGTGACTTACATGGTGACAGAAAGTCCAAAGCCAATCATCATCACCATCATCATCATCCTTGAACTTACCATCAGTCCATTTAATATGTGCCTGTCAGCAACACCATGATAGCTGTTATTTTTACATTTATGTAATGTGCAGTAAAGGTTCCCATTGGCATCAGACTTCTGGCTGTTTTTAATGAGTTTAGGAGCGGACAGAACAAGCAGCAGAATGCCTGGTTTTGTAAAGTCTATTTTTTGTCTCCAGCTGTCCATCTCCAATTTTCTTAAGACTGTAAAGAAGTGGAAATACATCACATATCACCTCTCTCTCTCTCTCTCTCTCTCTCTCTCTCTCTCTCTCTCTCTCTCTCTCTCTCACACACACACACACACACACACACACACACACACTTAATTAGGAAATCTAAGGAGGATCTTTTCTAAGAAACAGGGGCATGCAGCATAGTTAACCTAGACTTATTTTGCATTGACTACACAGTAAAATTCATCATAGCTCCTCGAAGTAAACCAGTACCAGCAAATTTTGTACACTGTTCCTAACATAAAGCTCATATGTGGTGATTTGCAGGCACTCACTGTAAACAAGAAACCACCTTGACAGTGAAATTGAATGGAACCAGGTCATTTTCTGTGCTGTAAAGGAATCCAGTGAGACACATACGTGTGTGCTCAGTCTCTCTGTACACTGCATACCTGTCTTCTTCTCAAAAGCAAGCATACCTGTCTTCTTTCTGCAGCCCTCAGTGGAATCACAGTTTGGTTCAGTTTCTAGATTACAAGTCTTGGGTATTGGAATAAACATCTAACTAGCTGTGCATTATAAACAGGTGAGCAGCAGAGCAGTTTCCTACACTGGAAAACAAGTAGGCTACTCTGAAGGAAAGGCTCATCAGTATAGTGTGCGGACCAGCAATCAATCAGTACCTTATCTCACTGTGAGAACTTCCTTTACGAAAGGCTCAGGGAGCTATGCTTGTTTACATGTGCTGATTCAGTTTTTCAAAACTTCTATTGTTAAAAGCAAGACTGCATTCTTGTCATGTTAAAAATGTCAAAACCATGCCAGGGAAAAGTGAAGAATTCTGTCTGCAACCATAAATAACCAGACGTATTTGTAAATAAGAGTCAGATCTTTCTGATTTATGGTTAAATGCTGTGTGTATGTGTATGTGTGCTTGATTTTTTGTCATTACATGCAAAAAAACAAGGGACTCGGGCAACATAAACCGTGAGTATCCTTAGCCCCAGGACACTGCTGAAGTATGTCAAAACACTTCGTTTACTTAATGTAACAGTGCTGCTATTTTCAGCACAAAGATCAGAAGAGCCAATACCACCAATCTAAGCAGAACATTTTCTTCCCATTACTGTCAGTGTGGACAATTTAAGCATATAGCCAACTGGTACCTCATTGAGGGGCTTAAAATCGGGACTTGTGTCAGAAGCTTGGGGAACCTGACTGTCAACCTGGCATTCAAGACGCACCTGAAGTATTTCTGCTGAGAGAGACACCAAGTAGAACACCAAAATTTATCCAAGGCAGCTCAGATATCAGAAAAGCCAGAACGACAATACATTGGGAAGACAAGGAGTTAAAAAACAGCACTTAGCATTTTTTTCAATAAAAGATTGCCTGTTAATTAGAAAAGACTAACTCCCTCTCTTAAATAATTTCCTTAGGCCACAGGGATATGCTGACATATGATCTTTCACTTTGATCAGAATCATTTCAAGCACATAAGATTTACTTTATTCTAGGAACACTTATTAAACTGTTGCTAATACAATATGCTTAGGACCATTCTAAGTATGGCAAATACACAGCAGTGAATAAAACAGTACTTGTTCTCCTGGAAATTATGTTCTAGAGTGAAAGACGAAAAATAAATATATGTGTACAATTCAATGCCAGTGCTATTTGTAAGACAGAAGGAAAATGAAGTTGGCTAATGCAATTAAGAGGGACAAGGTGTTTTGCCTAGGTGGGCTTTTCTAAATAGGTGATATATTTAAACTAGAATCTAAGAATTATTTCATTCACTCGTTCACTCTGTATGAAAAACATGACTATGCCTGTTAGTTGGCTAGCACTGTCCAGAAATTCAACATTTAGAATTAGTACATGCCCTTCTCAAAGATCCTGCTCCTTAAAAAATATTGATGGTTACACAAGAGATAAGGCAGCTATCCTAAAATGAGGAATGATGCTTGAAGTCTTGTACAAAACGTATTCAATTTCTATTTGCAGTTTTCTTGTTTCTTGGCATGCTTAATTCACATGCTTAAGAAATTACAAATGCAACAGGTTTAAATTTGCAAACCTTGGTCTCCCATCCACACTGAGATGTCAGGAGACATTGTCTTCCAAGGTAAAAAGTACTGTAACTATCTGTTGAAGCCCTGTAGCTCCTCCACGAATGTCCTGGATGACTGGGTAACAGCTGGAAAAGGTTGGTCACATACCAGAAAGATTTTAGTGTACTTTCTTTCTCAAGCCTGCCAGTATTTTCAACCTGGATTGTAGGAGTAACACAAGATAAAATACCACAGAGACTTCACGTCAGGGAAGGTTTCTTATTATGGAGAAAAGCCTTCAAAATATCCTCCCCTCAAATCAAATATTGAAGCTGAGATAAAGTCCAGGCACATTTCTCACCATACCATAAAAAGAAAATAAAAAACACAGTTCCCATAGAAACATATAATCCAGCTTCGGGGAGATCTGAAAAGGCGGTCATTTGGAGCTTTGTCCTAAGAATCAGAAGACGGGAACTCTATTTTTGCTTCTGTACCAATTTGTTGTGCAACCTTGGGCAAGTTACATCATCTCTTTGAGGCTATTTTCCAATCATTGCAGTCCCAATATCAGGCTTTCAAATACCTCTGCAGAGTTCAGTTCAAGCAGAGCAACTCTGATTTTTATCTACTTTGTGTTTCCGAGTAAGATTTCATTTGAAAAATGGATGTTCTGATGAAAAAGAAAATGATGCAATAATCACTGGAAGAGACATCCTCTGAATCCTTTTTCAAACCAAGATTGCTAATTAAGAACCAAAGAACATCTCTCAAACTTCTGAGGTGCTAGAAAAGGGGAAACAAAGAGCATGAGGGGACCATTCAAAAAAAATTCTGTAGCATTTTTCTTATAAAGCTACTTGCTCCTTGCCCTATTCAAAGAAGAAACACTTTCGTGGTACAGATAGAACTTTTTTTTTGGCAACCAAATTCAGTAATCAGTGCAGTGAGTCCCCCCAGGTTCCTGTAGTTGTTTTGTCAAGAAATGTGTACATTCCTTTTCTCCAATGGTTTCCCTAGGTGAAAGTATAAAAAGAGACAAGGCAAAATTAATACTACTATACCTTTGATGGTAACATTATCCAATAAATACTTACTGAACATTTACTTCCTTTCAGGTACTGGATGCTATGGCCATTAGAAGAGTTTTCCTGTTAGAGAACAATTCTCCATGTAATTTGAAAACCTAAACAATGGAGAGGTACTACGTGCATAGAATGGAAATCCAGAGCCTTCAATAAGCTATATTCTCCACCCCTTTCATATACATATATATAATTTTAAAAAAAATTTTGAGACACTATGTCACTAAGTCACCAAATTTCCCTTGCCAGCTCCATTGAAACTTGTGATCCTCCTGCCTGAGCTTCTGGAGTGCTGGCATATTCTACCACAGCTTGCTTGGAATACTTTACTTTGTAAAAGGTTAGTTCTGGCCAGGAATAGAGCTCAGCGGCACAAGTGCCTACCTGGCAAGCACAAGGTCCTGTGTTCAATTCCAGTAGGAAAACAACAAAAAATAAACAAAAACAAATAAAAGGTCAGTTCTCCCTAATTTTATTTATTGATACAATGAAAATCCAATTCCATTCACAGCAAGTTTTTATAGATACAGCATTGAGAAGATAGTTCTAAATTTTACCTGTAAAAGTACTAGCACTAAATAGCCCAAAATGCTGTTGAGTGAAGTTATAAGACAACACAATCTAGTTTCAGGGATTATAATAAATTAGAAATTATCAACAGAATGTGGTACTGGTGAAATGTCAGAAACACAGACCAATGGAGCCAAAAAAAAAAAAAAAAAAAAAAATCAAGAAATAGAACCACACAAATCCAGTTAAGAGAGTTTTGACAAAGAAGAAAATGTTATGCAATGGAGAACGGGTAGCTTTCTAACACTGATGCTTTAAACATACTGTATATTTAAAAAGATGAAGGTAGTTACAAAAATCACATCTTTTATAAAAATTAAGCAAAATCAATTATAGACCTAAGTGTAAAATATAAAACCATAAAGATTTCTAGGAAAATCATAGAAGAGAATCTGTGTAATAGTGGGTTTGGCTAAGCTGTGTTTAGACATGGCACCAATTCATGGTCTTTTTTTAAAATCAAGAATCGGTAACTGAGACTTTGTAAAAATTAAGAATTTTGCTGCACAAAATACAATGCTAAGAGAATGTAAAGCCACATACTTGGAAAAAAAAACATATATATATATATATATATATATTTGTATCAGCATAAATGACTTGATAACAATAAAAAAGCAAAAATCCTATTTTAAAAATGAGTAAAGGACTTAAACAGATATACCACTACAGGACATATAAGGTAAAGTAAACACATCAAAACATTCACAACCTCATGAGTTCTCAGAAGGACATAACTGATACTGAGATACCAGTAGCCACCTATTGGGAGGCTAAAATAAAACAACTGGAAAGAAACCAAAAGGATGGGGAGAAAGTGAACTCTAGGACACTGCTAAAGGGAAATGCTCTGTGAGAAAGGATACACTTTCTCTTTAGAAGTTTTATTACAGTTAACAAGCAATTACCACATGACCTAGCATTCCAACGCTTACATATATAGAAAAATGAAAACTTATGTTTAACAGAAACTTCAGTGAGAATTTTTAAGGCAGTTGTTTTCATGACTGCGCCAAACTGGAAACAACTCAATTATGTTTTAACTTATTGGAGAATTAACACTATGGAACACTGCTCAGAAACAGAAATGAACAAATTATTGATACATGCAACACTGACCAAAAAACAAAGGCTGCAAGTGAAAGAAGTTTGATTTGAAAGGTTATCTACTGCATGATTCTGTTTATATAATACTTTAGAAAATTCAAACTATAGCAATCAGTAGTTACCAGGACCTAAGAATAGAAGGAATGTTTCTCTACCAAGGGAGATTTTGGGAAATGACAGAACTGTGTAGCTGAA